GTCGGAATTCGGAAAGGTTCAGTTCTAAGTCCTATACTTTTTTATATTTATACTTCAGAATTATATGACATTAAATAAAATAAATAATTTTTGTATAATATACAGTAGCCGTTAATTTTATGATGTGAGTGTTAATGCGATTTAGAACTGGTAGTGGAATGTGTAAAAAGATGACCTATAGATTTTAATTTTACCTTATTCCGTGAGAAATCTAACATCACCATTTTCACTGGACTTGGGTTAAGTTTCTCTACCAACATAAATTTAAGTAATATTGATATTCCTGTCTCCCCTCACCATACTTAATATCTGGGAGTAGTTTTGGACAAAAAAATAGCCTATACACTTCATGTGAATCACATTATAAACAAATGCAAAAAGTTTTAAACATGATTCGTTGCATATGTCAATCTAGATGGGGTGCTATCCCAAAAATAGCAATAATGTTTTATAAATTGTATATCCGTTTAATAAATGGTTACTGATACTTTTTATATGGTTCATCGTCCAAATCTAATTTATCAAAATCGATAAAATTCAGTATTAGGTAATACGTACATGTCTTTGCGCGTTTAGGTCATCTCCATGTGTTGTAATTCTAGCAGAAGCACAGGAACCTCCTCTAAACCTTAGAAGAGAATTATTTTTTAATCATTTCTAATAAAGACCAGGGCTTGCGACTTACCAATTATTAAAAAAAATTACACTCTCACAGAATACAACTTGAATCATTCTTCTTTGCCGAACTTTATGCCATTGAAAGAGCTCTAACTTAAGCGTCTGAACCGAACTTTGGAGACACGGTTTCACTATCAGATTCTGTATAATGCTCTTGAAGCAATATCACAACCAATAACCACAAATTATAACAATGAATTGTTATGCCATATTAAGAAGTTAATCGTTCGATTTAAATATCATAGCCATGACTTGGTCTTTATCTAAATAAAAGAACATGTCAAAATAAAAAAATAATGAGGTAATGGATGAAATGGCAAAAAATTAGGGAAATTTAAATAAAATAGAAAATTTAATAATCTCCAGCATTCCAAAAATTGCATAAAAATTAAGAAAAAATGGGAAACTATTTGGCTTAAGTTTGTACAAAACTCGAATAACATATACCCACAACTTTCGCAAAACATCAAACGTGTATTTGATTATTACGTTAGTCGATTCTACTCATCATCCCTTAGTGCAACTTTTTGCCCTTTTAGCTACAATTGGAATGCGTATCTATGTGATAACAACTTTATCGCAGACTTAATCATATAATCTTTAATAGGGAACTTAATAAATACCCTACAAAACGACTAATTGTCCGACTTAAAGAGCAGAATGTTAGTTTACCGCTAAATATTTCACACATACTAAGCTTCAACACAAAAACTATTAACGACATTATCATACAGCTCCTTAAAAAATCTAAAATACATTTATGTAACATAGCATCTTTAACTTTTAAAATATTTGTGGTAAAAAGCTTGAATATTGAAAAAGGAACAAAATGTTAATCGTGACAGATTCTAAGTCATCACTACACCTAATTAAGAAAATATACACCCAGCATACATTAGCTTTACTAATAAGGAAAAAACTAAATAAATTACATGCTACTCTCCAATCTGTTAGTATAAATCTAAAAAAGCTACTGTATGAAACATATTTTCGAGATCTGGGACAATAAATGGAATTCCACACCATCAAAGCTTCAGGAAATAAAAAAACACCCCTTACAGTAAAACATGTGCTAGTGGAAAAGTGCGAGAAGTTCAATATCCATAAATACCATTTAGCAAACTCAACTTTTAAACTCAAGTAACAAGGTTTTTTGTAAATAAAAAAAAAATATTATAAAATTTGGACTATGTATAAACGAAAATACACCAAACACTGTGAAAAGAGATCAAAGCAAATATAGCCCAAAATAATATTCTATGAATAAATAGCGAAAGTAGGGAATTTTGTTTTACAAAAGTGGATCAATTTGAATACCTTGGAGTGGCAATTACAAATAGAGTTGAGAAAGATGCAGAAATAGAAAAAATAATGGCTAAAGAAAGTAAAACTGTAAGAGCCTTAAATAAAATCATTAAACCTAAATTAAAATCCAGGAATAAGAAAATCAGGATTTATAAAATGATTGTGCAACCTTCGGTTATGTATGCTAGCGAGTATTGAGTGTTAAGTCAAAAAAATACACAGAAATTTAAGCGATAAGAAAAAAAGATCTTACGTAAGATATATGCAGGGACAAAGGACAATGACGGCGTATGGAGAAAAATAACAAATAAGGAAGAATAAAAAATATTCTATGTATTTCTAGCCTTCTTATAGTGTATGGCCAGTAAGCGTTACTAAAGGCATGGTTTGTGTTAAAAATTACGAGAATGGCCTATTTCTTCCGCGTCCTTTTAACTTAAGCTGATCCGTATGCATAGCTGATTCTTATATATAGCTGATCTGGGTTGTCTAAATCCAAATTATTATTTTCTATTAGGTTTTTATAGAATTTTCCGAATCAGCCTGATATACATATTGGATTCTATGAATTGGCTACTTCCAAAACTTTACATGGTGTTAGTAGACTTTAGTAGACCAAGCGTGACTTATAATAGGGAGGCTTATGAACTGATCGTTTCTTTGGGCGTCCTTACTAATAAAACACTTACTGTTTTTCCTGAATGTGGTTAGACCACAGGTTAGGTTAACTGTAGGGGTAGTACAAAATACGGCTTTTCTCCCTAATTACTTTAGTGAATTTACTTATGCTAAGAATAGCATAACTACAGGACTTAAGTTACTCAAAAAAGTGTGTGTTTCGAATAGAGAGCTATCAACGTAAGTTGATGTTTCTCTGTCCGATACATGTGTGTTCGGTTACTCAGCTAACGAATTGACCAAATAAATTATGTTCCCTTCATCGGCTGAGCACCCAAAAGGCGTGGCCATTAAATCTCATGTTTTTCGCCCATGAGCTCGATACTCAGCTCTCGTGACTTAGGTCCTTTTGACCCGCCTTATGGTCCCATGTCTAACCAACAGTATAAAAGGCCTGACGGACCTTGACAGGAGAAAACCTTCTGACAAACGAAAACCGGAGATTCCTCAAATAATTTTAAGACAATTTAATCCATTTCACCTAGTCCAAAGATGCTTCCTAAATGAGCTAGAGCTCTTTAAAGATGGCGCCTTGTAAGTAGCTTTATCTTATACCTACCTAACAGAAGTATAACCTACGTTGTTTATTGTCAAATTCTTGTCAGTTCGTAAAGTTTCTCTTTTAGTTTTTACTTTGTGACATTCAAACACAATAATTTTCATTTAACAAAAATGGTTTTGACTAATGAGGAATGCGCTGATATATAATTAGTTAATTGCGAAATGAGGTTTGACTCCATAAACTAGTGTCTTACACTGATAAGACCAGTTTCGTCGATTTAACCTATCACTTGGAACTACTTACATACTACTCGGTGTCGTACCTACTCGGTACCGTACTTACATTTTCGTCATAGTCTGTCAACTCTCGTAATGTCCTAATGGAATAATTTCTGAGGTTATTAAATATCTCATACGCTTTCTCATCCCTTATTTGTAGAATCCTCCTTTGTTGTGGATCTCTAAATTTGTACCTTAACGGTACTTATATATGTATTCCCATTGTATATCTAATTATGATATTCTTCCCAAATAATAGAAGAAGAATATAATAAAAAATAGAAGATTTTCTTCCTATTGGTTTTGTAGGCATCTTTCTATGCTACAAAATCATATGTCAGTGTTAACAAGATTGCGCTGTTTGCTGTTCTGATTTTTATTTTAAAACCCAGTTTGCTTTTTCGGCCTATTAGCAAAGAGAGTTGGCTCTTAAGTGCTTTAACTTAGTAGACCGTTTGGTTTACACGTTCTGTAAACGTCAGTTTCTTGTCAAATGTGACTCCAAGGTATTTAGCTTGACTACTTCACTCGATTGGGGTGTTAGCAATTTTTATTTCTTTACCTGATTTACCTTGCCTTTGTTGGTTTATGACGGCCTGTCTTTTCTCCTAGTTTATTGCTATTTTCAACTGTATGCACCATATATCGATTTTACTCATTTTATAGGTAGTTTGTGGCTACATCCTGGTTTCTGCTGCTTGCTTCTATCGCAATGTCGTCAGAGTACAGGCTTAATAACGATCATGGATCAGTAGGTGTGTCTGCTGTGTATGTTGTGTACAAATGAGTCGATAGGACTTTGAATCTCCTGTTGACTAGTTATGACGTAAAAAGAGATCCCATTGCCTCACTGTAACCATATTTATTTATTTTCTATAGCAGGCCTTTGTGTTAAACTCTGTCAAAAGTCTTACTGACATCCGTAAAGGCGGCTGCTGTGTACATTTTTTCGTTAAACCCTTTTGTTTATTCGGTTGGCCTCAGTACCTGAAGCTCACACGAATGCTCTGATTTCACTCCAAACTTTACTTTCCGTTCCTATGGTCACAGATTCTACTTTTAATCTGGTTTGTATGACTCTTTCGGCGATCTTAAGTAATTGATGATAATAGGCTTATCGGTCGGTGAAGTCTATACTGGTATAGACTGGAAGATAGCAAGAAATAACCGAAAAAGCTTTAATATAATACCGAAAGAAGTAAAAATATTAGAAAGCAGTCCAAATAGATTATATTAAAACATATAACTACAAAAAAATATATTTAATTTTTCATATTATTAACAAATAACTTATATACTTAATATACATTATATATATATATATAATATATATATATATATATATATATATATAATAAAATATATATTTTCCGGAAAGCTGTTTTGGAGTTGTATCATTAGCAATATATGCAGCTATAGTTTTAACTCCGAATTAAACAGTTATTTATTCTAATAGATACTTTTTTATCATCACACAACTATGTTTTATAGTTATTAAAGTTCTGATGACTTAACTGATCCTTGTATCTATGACTGATGGTATTAATTTATTTTTTTAGGTCTTATATTTTTACTCCGTAGTGCTAGCATCAACTTTAACAGAAGCTATTAATGATGAAGATAATGGCCAATATCATCCAGATGATGAAGGAAGATATATTCCAGACGATTCTGGCAAATATGTACCTGATTATAGTGGTGTATACCACGATGATGGTAGTGGTAGGTACCAAGGAGACGATAGTGGAAAATATGCACACTTAGATGGTATGTATTTTTATTTCAATAGTTTTTAAACGGGCTTTTTATTTCCATCTTAATATTTGTTGAATTTGTTGATATATTTCTCTGGACGAGAAAATAACTCTTCCCAATAACATGGCGAGGCATTTATTATAAAACCATTAATAAAAAAGAAATTTTATGCCACAATAATGTCCATTACAAAGCACTTTAAGAAATACCACGCCAATTATATATTAGGTAACTTGAATGCCATAAATGACAAAAAAAGTATACGACATTACTAGAGGACAGTTAATGGCAGAGGCAACTAATAAATACAAATTTACCAATAAGAATATGTGATATCAATAACTTAAGGCATAAACTGTCTGCCAGATGACAATGTATCTGAACACAGCCTCAAGACAACGAGAAAATAATTATCAGAAATCAAGTTGATTATTTTTATTCATAGTTGTTAAAAACCTACCAAGCAGCGATATAGGATCAGACCACAATCGAGTCATTAATAAAATTAAACATAACGAAAAAACAATATTCCAAAGTAAAACCAAAAACAATGTAATAATAAAGCACTTTATAACACAAAGTAAAAAGAAGAATTAACAACCAGTCACACCGATGAACTAAAGAAAACAAATATAATAAGAGATTGAGAAGTAGAAGATACATGATAAATCATAAATAAAGTATATTATACTTAAGGTATTGTTTTTGTTTCCTTAGACATGTCCTGATTGCTTTATTAGCATCTTTCTAGAAAACGCGGGTGAGGATCATGGGGCATTTAGGCTTTCTTTGTGATCGACTATATTTCAGTCATTCCGCTCCCTCCCGCCCTCCCTTCATAATCCGCATTATATATTATATATATATATATATATATATATATATAATATATATATATATATATGGGTTGTAAACATATTTTTTAAAGAATATTTATATCGTTTTTTAGACAAATATCGTCATCAAAGGGATAAACAATTTCCTTATAACCCACAAAACAAGTTTAAATTTCCACAAATTATAAGATCACAAAAATTACTTAGTGAGAAATCCTTAAATGGTAATTTTGCTTCTGCAAGTACGGCAAAAACTCACTATGTTCAACCAAAATCTAATTCCATAAATACATCTCCCGTTAAATTGGGAACATATGATGACAATCGCTGGAAAATTATTAAGTTGGCTAATGACGTGAAAGATGATGGATTTCACTGGGAGTAAGTATTCTACAGCTTAGGGAAAATGCTTTCTAAAAGAGCTAGATTTCTTAAAGATCTATAGATGGCGCACTAACATAGGTTAATTCAATTATCATTAAAATGATTGTCTTTGTAGTGATAACATTGTAAACATTTATTTAGTGCAATGTATTTCTACGTGGAATGGTAATACGCTTTACCCAGTAGTTCTCGCTATCTAAGAACTAACTTATTTTTTTTTAATGAAAACAATAAATATTTTGTTTCTTATCGACATACTAATAAACGTTTGTTACAAAAAAAATAACAATACTGTAACATAGGTACCATAAGAGAGGAAAAGAATCCAATAAGCTAAAGATGACTGTTATATCTAGACGTTGCGTTGTTGGGATATGAATTTTATAATATGTTTGGTAAATAGATTTATACACATTTTTTAGGCCTATTATATCGTAATTATTTCCTAAGGAATGGCAGCAGTACAATCATGTTTACGTGACTATTTCTGGCGAATTTGCTATAGATATATAATGAAGCAATTGGTAATATCAGTAGCTTTTGTGATTTTATTATATATGTTTCAAGACTTTATTTTAATTGTTTAAAAATCTTTTATTAAAACAATGATGTATGTGATTATATAAAACTGAGTTTTGGCCTGCTTTACAGTATTCTTGTATTTTTTCAGCCATTTCAGCCACTGTCCTTCGTCACTGCATGATGTTCTTGACTT